GGCTTACCATTCACGCAGGATGCTGATAATTTTGGGCTTGTAGTTGGGCAAGTCAGCTTGCAAGACAACCGCCAATCCTTCAAGGTTACTCTCCAAGGACGACGTACTCTGTGAAAGAAAAACAAGAAGGCTTGGCTGTGCCATATTACAGAGCAGAGATTCTTCGAATGAGATTCAAATGCTGTGCCATCAATGATTTATTGACAACGAAATGCTAACTTGACTTTTTGAAAGCATGCAATGTCCATCCATCACCAAGTTGGTTGGCAATGTGTAATCGGATCACAGAAGTTGTGCATTTAGCAACAAAACCTGGTTTTTCTTTTACTGAAAACCAAACATCCAAACATTCTGAGCAATATTGAAGACAACTTGAGATGACCAAGGTCACGTTTCTGGCTTTCCAAAGAACAGCATTCCCCTCAAAGACTTTTCAAGGGTCAGCCTCTCCGTACTGTTGGCAATCAACTTCACGTTTACAATTTCGTAAAAAAAAAAATCCATGCGTACCTTTTCTCCTACTCTTGTGATGAGAGATTCTAGTCTTTCTTCAATCTCGTTCTGATCAGTTGTTGTCCTTCGTCGTTTCTGACTCCTAGTGTCATCTGCCAACAAATGATGTCAAATTGCATTAACCCTATCCCTCCTCAATCCTCCAAAATCCTTCGGGCAGTTTTGGAGGAGTTTGGAGGATTGAGGATGAATGGCAGAAATGTATGGGTGATTGTGCAGGATGCCGTGAATGAAGGTTGTGGGTTGGATCTTGTGTTGTTTCTGCTTAGTCATGCATAAATTTAGCCTGACGTTGCTTAGTGAAATTAACCACACTGCTCAAGAAAGCCATTCACCATGCCTCAACATAATGGCAGGAATTGCCACAGGATTTTGAAGGATTGAGGAGCTGGGTAGGTGCACACTATACATCTCATTTTGAGCATAAGTGCAAAGATTGGTGGATTTCAGACGAATGCAATCTCTAGACTAGGGTCACTGGAGGATTTTGGAGGATTGAGGATTTGCCCAAGCTAAAAGGCCCTAATGGGTAAGGATTAATCTTGTCCAGTGGACAAACACACACAAAAATGTCATATACTGTAATGCTGACAGAGTTGGGACTCTAGAAAATATATTGAAAAAAATCACTTCTTGGTTCCTTAAAAGTAGTTATCCCCTGTTTATGGAACATTATACAAATAATGAATGTTTACAAGTGTAATGGTAATAATTTCATGAGAAGACTTCATGAGAATGATCCAGTAATCTGATGACGAGGATTTATGGAGGTATTATGTCATTTTAAATTACCTAATCTCTGCATAATTTGCATCACCAACAACAGATCACATACATAAGACCTCAGCATAACTCTGTAAATCCACTATGTAACTGGAATAGTGTTCCGTCCATTGAGTTCAATAAACCATCAGCCCATTCAGTTTGCTTCTACTCCATATTTACATATGTGTACAAAGTCATGTGGTCACTTAGCCCAAGTTGGATGTTATTAAATATTTGGCATAACACAAAAACAAACAAAACCAAACGGAAAATGCAATACAGAACAATACATTACACAAGACAAACAATCAATCAATGGCACATGCCAGGAGTTGAACAAGTTTACTTAAAAACTGTGACCTAAGGGCCTCCAACTCCGTTGTCTTCACTTACACTACGACTGACATCCAGGGTACAATGTCCTCCTACCTTTGCAAAAGTTTTTCAACTACTAGTAGTATGTTGTAAAAAAATTCGCTATAGCAGAAGGACTTTAGGCCAAGAGAATGAACATCCCGGATTTCCTTCCGGACAATTTGGAAATCCATGAGGCTTTTTTTCATTATTCATTCTTTGGTGTACATGTACATACCACACATCCATAGCGAGTACATGTCCATGCAAAGGGAACCAACCTTGAAAGTAGACTAGCTTTTAGTCCATCTCTCATCACGCCATTTGTACGCGGGCACACTACGAACTCCCAATTTACTTTGCAGCCATTTTTAACCCTTCCCAACTGGAAAAACAACAATTTTTCTGAAATAATAACTTTTTGGAAAATAATGAAATTATTTGGCAGCTGTTTTAGTGGTAAGCAGGCGGTGGACGGATATCCAGGATATTCATTTTTATGGCCTTATACCCTAGACGTTAGTCACAATGCAACGTGGACTGGGCTAGTGGTCATAGTGGTCGCTCATGGTAAATAGATATGAAGTGGCTATCGTTACGACAGTCGTAACACATTTCTCATTTTCTATCGTTACGGCACTGAACTGCACAAGTGCGATGACATAGGTAATCATCGCAACGGTTAATATATTTTAAAATCACCTGGACTACTGAACGCTTGTGGCCGACAATGTGGAAGGTTTGGAACCACTGGTGTGTGAATCCGCACTTGGACTATTTTTTTGCCTAAATTTCATGTTTTAAACCATAATTGTTTTTATATTGGTTTTTAATTGTTCCGCCTAAGCAGGAATCTTTTCTTCTTTTCTCATCGGAGGCTTTGGAGGATTTTTTAAGGGGATATAAAGTCCGAAATCTATGCTCAAGTTGGTGCACTTGCTCAGTTGCAGTGCTGTAACAATAGAAATGGGAGATGCGTTACGGCTGCTGAAACAACAGCCACGGCGAAATAGAAAAACACTTCACTTCACATTGTAATTTTTTTTCACTGTCCTTAAAGCAAAGTGTATTGTCCCAAAATATTCCATGTATACAAAACCCCTTAAGACTTGTTCATGTTTGTAACTCTTAATTAACTTAATAATTGTGCACACCTAGAATTAGGCCTATATTTTATAGGGCTCCTTGCTCGGTTTCTTGGTAACAAAAACATGAAGAAGAGACATCTGGACATGAAAGAGGCAGAGTACAACTAAATCACTTGTGCCTGTGGTTGTCTCTTTATGCAAGGGCATCTAACACATCAGCCCAATCTCTATATTTTCGAAAGAAGCATCAGGAAACTGATTTTGTTCCCAAATCGCTCCCCAGCACCAAAATCGTAACACTCAACTTGCCCATCACTGCTACACGTCCCATTTTCTCGAAATAGGTGCAACTAGGCAAACACTAAAGGCCTACCACGATGTAACAAAATAAAAACAAATTTGGGTATTTTAATTAAAACATAACACAAGAAACTTCAATGCATCTATTAAAACATTACCCTCTCCATCATCTTCTAGACGTCTCCTCCTAGACATAGCTTAATCTGGAGAAATAAGCAACACAACTTGTCAAAAAGTCTGTGACTTTGTTGTCTGCTCTCTGCAATGCAACGACGGTCTCGTGTTAATGTTGCGTGCAATAAGTCGCGGAGAAATGACTGGTACCCTGAGAACGTACACGAACACAGGTCGGTGTGTAAACCAGCGAGAATAATTCAACTATAGATGGCGCTAGACGAAAGTAGTGACCAAACAGTCTCATCATAATAACCAGGTCTTATAATAATGTACCGCCACTGAAAATTGATGCCACTTGGAAAATATTGTACATGAAAAAAATTTAAAATAAAAATTAGGACGAAAACATCCAATATTTAAATAAAAGAAAAATTACACGTCAGCGCAATGGTTTGGCATACCTTTCCCCTTTGTTAGAAGAAGAACCGTTTAATAAATACATGCCTGCAGCCGTATTAAAATACTAGTTTGGGAGAGGAACTGATGGGCAGCACCGGGACCCCCGCCTGAAAGTTTGTGTTGTCAGTATAACAATGGAGCTATTAAGCGCCCATGGTTTAATTTAAGTTCACAACTGTAAGGTCAGTTGGGAGATCCTTAATACAACTTCAATTCTTCAGGTTTATAACAATGTCAGTGATTGTTGGCACAGTACCCTGGTAACTGATATTTTTACATTCTTATTTCAGCTGAGGTATAATACCCCTAAACGGTGTTGAAACTTTCACAATGCACCATGCAGTCAACAAAAATGGAGCTATGGGTAGGTGGATTGGAGATTCTGGAACAGTTCCTGTACGGCTATTTGTACATGTATATATATGAGAGGGTACATTTCGGCGGGAAACAATACTGAAAGAACAGAGTGAAACGTACGTGTAGTAGGCCAATGTTTTTTCTCACAAAATACCTTTTCCAACATTGTAAATAAGCTGAATCCATTAAAAGAATTTGTCCAGCGGGCCCTACAACATAATAATTCCAGCTGATCACCGGAAAGCTTATTCCATTCTCCCTTCAGTTCTATTTTTTTTTCCAGTTCAGAACGACTTGTGTAGTCATGATGGTGGCATGTTTGGGATATTTCGTGTCAGTCGGCACCGTAGGCCTAAATGCTGGGAATTAGTGAAAATGATGCAGGAGCAAAGAGCAAAAAACCCCGCAATTAACCTCATAGCAATATTCAGTGCTAGAATAATCTTGGAGCCTTCAATTTGCCCCTGGAAAACTGGTGATATTCTTCGCACAGGGAATCGACTCTTTCAGTATTCAATCTTGTCTTCTTCATTTGCGGCCTGGCCTGCTACCCGCCGAGTAAAATTTCGCTCGCTAAGTTTAATTCCACGAAAAATATTGAAGCACTACTTTCGTGGATATACGGACCGGGGGAAAGTTTCCCACGTGTCAATAAGAGCATCGTGCGTCATTATTTTGTTAACGTAGGCCGTCTAAGCTAGACCACGAGCCCGTAGGGTAACTTCCGGCAGTCAACACTTGTTGCCCGTGGGCGTGGCAGTGACCCGCGTCAATGAGGGGAACTACTGCATCTCCAAGCAACTATAATAAGACTCATATTCATTGTGATTACGTGTATTGACTCCATCAGGATCGATATGAGCCAAGAAAAATTATCAGCTCTCTTCGAGTCTTCACTATGATACTTCATTTCTCCGATGAATTAACTGCAATTGGAAGTTTCATGCTGATCTGCACCAGGATTGTGTAAAATTATTGATTATTATTTTGGACTTTATTATGATAATTATTGATAATGGGCGACCAAAATGCTGAGTAAGGAGACAACATTCCTGAGCGATAACTACGTAAGTGATTTTTCCCGTCCGAAAGCGCTTGAAAAATGGAGTACAAAATGGCAAGACTCACGATGCCATGACAAAGCACACCGGGTTCAATACAAAGGGCCACTGTGTGGTCGGGCCGACCGCATGTTGAGCGCCTTTTTTTCCTCGGTCCGCTTGTCACGCGGCGCCTTGTGTAAAAAAATGGTAATAGCGCCCCCATACGTCATCTCGTACGCGTTGTCAAAAGTATGGAAGTTGTCGAATCGCTGAAACTTTATTTTATTTCTTCTGCAGTTCAGCTTATTACGCCCTTGATGAGGGTCGGAATTCAGTGGCAGGTAGTTGAGACATCTTAAATCCCGAAATCGGCGTTGGCTGTCCAGGAGTGGGGCGAAGAGCAGGTGAAAATTGGACTTGGAAATCAATTGCAGCCAGGCCGTGTTCGTGTACGCACGTAGTAATACACGGTAGGAATTGCGCAGTGCATGTGATGAGGTCACGCACGGCCATTTGTGTGTACACTGCAGAAGCTGCAGCGTAGCCGGAAGAGATCGCGGTACCGTGTCGCGCTTCGCTGTGCACCGGTGACGGTGTATTGTTCGCCAGGGCCTGGGCGGTGTGCGGTGTATGGCCCACAGCCGACGACGTAGGACTGTATAGGGCAGGCAGAAAGACAAAATTGGACTGATTTTTTTGCGGGTGTTGAATTTGGTGGGAGTAGTTTTCTTTGCCTGGAATTTGGTTGAAATCGATGGAGTGCCCACACCTGGTGAACAGCGTAACGGCTGGAGTTACTGCCATGCCGGTGACAAGAAAGTCCAACAATGGAGAAACTTCGACCAACTGGGTTTGTGCAGGTAAAAAATATCGTTGAAAGACTTAATTACTGATATATTTTGGGAATGGAGTGCAATTATGTGTTAACCATAAAGTGACTTTAGTTGTTCAGCAATAAATTTCACAGCTGTATTGGTTATAAGCAGTGCCCAGATTTTCAAACTTTGTGTAATTTTTGAAAAGGTTATAGGTCATGTGTGCAACTACCAATGACTTAGTGATGTATACTCAAGTGCTGTTGGGCTTTTTAGTGTCACTTCATGTATGCATCACCTAACAAGGTCGACCCTGCTATCCCCTTATGGTTTAGACCTGAAATCAATGCAAAGTCCAAGTAATCCAGTCAGGTTAATTTATGAAGATTGTAATCACATTATATTAAACCACCCATGTCAAAGTGAATTTTGTTGTGTTTAGCTTCGTGTATTTTGCTTGAATAACGCATTGATGGGAATCTTCTGTTTTCTTTTTTGAGCAGTTTGTAGGTCAAGCAAAAGTCCCTGGATGTGTCTATCATGTGGCACCATCACATGCGGAAGGTAACGCAGCGCACTGTCGACTGTTAGCATTAAGCACTTTGTTCTTTTACTCCCTTGCGCAAGATGACGTCAGTAACTGTGACAACATAATGTATTCCTTGCCACTTTCCCAGCTTGATCCCCCGTGTCTGTACACTGAGGTACCTCGGGATGTAGAAGTTTTGATTTGCACAATTTTCTACATTTGCAATAAACTTGAGTTGCTAATGCCAACGTTACTGTGGTTCCGTGATAAGTGGGAAAAGTTAGGCGTGCAACTAATGCTACACGTGCATAGTCAGAAACATATGTTCATTTTCCCCAATGAAAATGTACAGTGTACAGAATCCAGTCTCCAGGTAAAAAGAAAAATTACAGTCTGTCCACCTTTGGGGTGGGGATGTTCCAACTATCCAGATGTTTTGAAATGAAATTTTTGTTTCAGGAATGAGTGGACATACATGACTATTATATCATTATTTAGACTTCTGTTGGAAGTACAACGAGGCATATAAACTCGGAGATATTCCTCATGTCTCCACAAAGTTGTGGATGTAAATCATGTGATGTTTACACGTTTATAAGGGGGAAAAAACAGCCCCAATGCCTGTATAAATTTCCCTAAAGTCCTAAACTGCCTCCCTGTGTAAGGGTTACATTGCCCAGAAAAATCCACTCGTCCAAATCAACAATGTCTTTTCTCCATTTTCAGATGCTGATTGTCACTTTCTGAAATTCATGTCAATTTTTTTTTTCTCAGGTATGTCAACGGTCATTCCAAAAAGCATTACGAAGAGTGCCAACATTGTGTATGCATCAGCTGTGATAATCTGAGTGTTTTCTGGTAAGAATGCCTTCCCTCTCCGACTCCTCTGAAAGACAGTGAAACCTAGTCCAAATTACCTGGCTGCGGCTGAAGATAATACATGCTCACTGGAAGCCACTAACTAGTGGCTAAATGCATTTCCCATAGGTACCTGCATTATTGTAAGCCATAGCCAAGTCATTTGGATCCAGCATTACTGTATGTACTGTCTTCTTATCATGATTACGGTGCTTGGGAACCAGTGAAGTAAGATCTTTCACTTCCAGTCTAGTTCCCGCTCCCTCCTCTTGAAGCATAGAGTAACAGTGAGACCAGGAGCCAGCCTACTTGTGTCTGAAAGTCATGGCTATGGAACCAATGAGTTGTGGCTGCAGCCGCTTCTCATAGACGTGCCTGTTATTCCAAGCCAAAGCCATTCAACAACCTAGCTTCACAGAGACACTGACCGGAGCCAAATAACTTGTGATTGCAATTTTCCTGTTCGGAAGGTTTTCCACATTTTACACCAGTCGCTTTGTTTGTCCATCATTCCAGCTTTCTTTGCCAATTACGTATTTGTAGAACTTATGTATTCTTCTGTTATTTGCAGTTATGAATGTGATGAGACTGCAGTGAACGACACCAAAGCAGGAACCGTTCAGCAAGTCAGACAAATCTTACAAGATATAGCCAGGTGAGAGCTGCGTTGAGTATGAGGAGCCAAGGCTGTGCCCAAAACTTGTGGCTGTGGCTTAATGTTACATATTTACCTATGGAAGCCGCTGGCTAGTGGCTGCAGCTATTACCCATGGGTGTAAATGCATCTGCTAGCCGCAGCCATGACTTATAGACAGTGATTCTTCATGAGGGTATTCCCTTTGTTTTTAATCTGGTGTGTAATTTGTATTTACATTTGTTTCATGCCATTGAAGTTGGGATACAAGACACAGTCTGTTTTGGAGGTAGTGTGCAGATAATGAATATTTATGAGACCAGAGGTAAGAATAATTTCATGAGGTTACAGATGGAATGTTCCATTCTACAATGCAAATGGAACAATTTATCTGTAAGTGAATAATGTTATTCTTTCCATTTCACTGAAGTGTAACATTCCTCATTTGTTTCACTCATTTGCTGAATAAATCTTCACTAAATCAATGCTGAATAAATACTGGCCATACGAATTCCCGTATCACCCATTTTGAGTGAAGAGCCACGTCAAAGGGTCATGAACAGTATGACTTGGCAAATAGATTGATTTATGAATGGAATGTTCCGTGTTTGTGGTGCAGCTGCGCTGTGTGTTAGGAAGAAAGAATGCATGATACACCATCAACAATCACATGTTGCATAATGCCATTTGGTTTTCGCATGACCCTCCATAGAGTAATTTGATTTGTGTCCAACCATGTTGTTTTGTAGCGCACAATTCGATAACAAGCGGCTAAAAAGTAGTAAAGAACAGGTCACCGACAGCGATGAAGAAGGACCTCCTAGGAAGAAGCTAGCCACAAACAATGTGAGTACACTCTGGCCTGGCTTCGGCTTCCCTGGAAGGCATTTGTTTGATGTCTGTTCGAGGGAAGGCTTTGTATTGTTATCATTGGCTGAGCGAAGAGAACAGTGTGACCGAGTCTCACAAAATGAGTCTCAAGGCCGTTTTCATTTTGGTATATTTTGCTCTTGTTTGCTTAGAAAGAACAAACTGAGCTCTGTGTTTGATTTATTGCCCAGGTGGTTTTTATGAAATGGACATCACGCTGGAGAAAAATGTTGAGTGTTACTGTTGCTCACATTGTACGATATTCTTTTATAGGCCTCTAGGTCTAAAGTAGCTCTGGTGACTTTTGGCTCATATTGTTAGATCAGACATCAGTTTGTGGCATACGAGATATATTGGAGCACGGTTGATGCCTGCTGACTGTTGATGCTAATGCAAATGGTCATCACATCACATCTGCGCTGAACAATTCACGGGCCATCGTTTTGCAGGTGGATCTGAGCCAGCCTTCTCATTTTTCTTGAAGAATTTTGTAAACTGATTGATGACGAGTCTTTTTGATTGTGCGTTTGCAGGTGAAAGCGACCATTCCTGGACTGAGGAACCTAGGAAACACATGTTTTATGAATGCAGTACTACAGTCACTAAGGTAAAGGTGCCACACCAGTACGTAATGTGTATGGAGTCGGGCTTGCAAGGGGGGTACTTTCCTCACCTTTGAGCTCTGCGACCCAGGGTCAAATCCCAACATGGTTTGGATTCTTATACCCTGCCCAACATCAAGGGTTTTCCTAAGCTGAACATTAGCATGAACCAGGCCAAACTCTGAACTTACAATTTTGCTGTAATCTCTAAGGTTGAATTTCCAGAAAATGCGGACAAAAACTGCAAAAGAACGTAATGCAAAGTGCAAACCATCTTTAAAATCCCCTGAATAGAAATTGTGGGAGAAGCCTTCTATTTTTTTTCTTGATCGACCCTGCCCACAAAAATGAGAGTTTCACATTCTAGTTTCGCTCACGGTTGCAAATTTCTTTCTCAGCAACATACACCAGTTCTGCTGTTACTTCAAAGATCTCCCCGCTGTGGAGCTGAGAAACGGCAAATCGGCAGGAAAGCGCATCTACAACACACGGAACCTCAAACATGACGATGTGTGAGTATGAGTTAGCTTCGCTCATGGAAGAGTTTCAGTCATGGCAGCATCACAGTAATCCATGTGTTTTAATTGCTAGAGGGGACTATTAATAAAAGTGAATTGGGGTTAGAAAATCATCTTGAACATTTGTGTAATTTACTCAAAAAATATGCTGCATTATGACTACAGTATTAGTGTAATTCCAGAAATTAGGAGTCCATGTTTTCGTGTCCCTGTCACATCTGATATATTTTTTTGTAAGTTCAAAACACATTTTCTAATTTCCGACAGTGTAACTCATCACTGAGTGATGAATTTATGCAAATTACCTGCCAAACAAATAGTAATGGTTTGAAATTGATTACGGTGATATTTCCATGTCAAATAACAAAGGCCAGATGTAACAGGGACACAAAAATGTCACACTTTTGGGCTCCGAATTGCTGGAATTACCATAAATGTTCTGCAGTTTGTTAAATTTGAAGTTGATGCATTGTACCAGTTTTGAATTAAAAAATGCAGACAATGAAGAAAAGACTCAAAGAACTTGAATAACAATAGGTGATTGTAGTTTCCTCATAGATCCCACATCTCACGGATGCCATTCTCACTCCTAGTATTGTCAAGCATTAAAATCACTGTAAGGTAATGCCGTGGGTGTGCCTTCCTTCCCAGATCCCTGGTAGAGGAGGTACGTAAGACGCTGTGCGCTCTCTGGCAAGGAGGCCAGTCGGCAATCTCGCCTGACTCTCTCTTCTCGGTCATGTGGAAAATCTTTCCACGGTTCAGGTGCGTATCCAGAAGATTCGATCCCTTGTTCTCTGGTGTGATGTTGGTCGTGTTCAGAGTGCTGCCTTCAGACTGTGCATGCACTGTAGAGGGTGCTATTTGGCCCACTTGCAAGTGCATCCCCTTTACAGCTGAATATGTACATCAGTAGCTGTGACTGAGAGGAATGCATTTGAACTCTGGAGCCCAATTAAAGATGAGAAAGATTTTCTGTGCCACCAGAAATGTTACGTATTTTTACATCCTTGGGCATTGTTAGAAACCTTCAAATCATGCATGTTATCGTTGGCAGAGGTTACCAGCAGCAAGACGCCCACGAGTTCATGCGCTACCTGCTGGACAGGCTGCATACAGAGCTACAAGGAACCCTATGGCCTGGTAACCCACGCCGACAGACCAACGGAACCAGTACTATTGTCACCTTCATGTTTGGAGGCTTGCTCCTCAGCCAAGTACATTGTGTTGTGTGTGAGAGCTTCTACAAGAAGATCGATCCATTCCTTGGTGAGATTGGGGTTGGGCTGGGCTGGGCTGGATAGGGCTGGTATGGGTTGAATTGGGTTAAGGTTGGGTTCTGTTGGTGGGGGTGGGAGGGTGTTGGGTTTGGTTCAGCTTTGTTTAGCTGGTAAGAGTCTTGAGGTGGATTGGGTTTGACTTGGTTGAGGCTGGGTACTTGTGGGTTGAAGCTGGAGGGTATTGGATTTGGTTTAGCTTGGCTCAGCTGGTAAGCATCTAGAGGTGGATTGGATTTGACTGGTTGAGGTTGGGTACTTGTGGGTCGAAGCTGGAGGGTATTGGGTTTGGTTTAGGCTTGCTTAACTGGTAAGAGTCTTAAGGTGGATTGGGTTTGACTTGGTTGAGGTTGGGTACTTGTGGGTCGAAGCTGGAGGGTATTGGATTTGATTTAGCTTGGCTGAGCTGGTAAGCATCTAGAGGTGGATTGGATTTGACTGGTTGAGGTTGGGTACTTGTGGGTCGAAGCTGGAGGGTATTGGATTTGGTTTAGCTTGGCTGAGCTGGTAAGCATCTAGAGGTGGATTGGATTTGACTGGTTGAGGTTGGGTACTTGTGGGTCGAAGCTGGAGGGTATTGGGTTTGGTTTAGGCTTGCTTAACTGGTAAGAGTCTTAAGGTGGATTGGGTTTGACTTGGTTGAGGTTGGGTACTTGTGGGTTGAAGCTGGAGGGTATTGGATTTGGTTTAGCTTGGCTCGGCTGTTAAGAGTTTTGAGGTGGATTGGGTTTGACTGGGTTAAGCTGGGGGGATACAGGGTTTTGTCAAACTTCGCTGACCTGATAGGATTCAGGCTGAGCAGTGTTGAATTGGGTTGAAGTTGGTTACTGTAGGATTGAAGTGGAAGGCACTTGAGTTTTGTTCAGGTTGGTTTATTTGGCATGTTTTTCAGATGCAGTGGGTTGGACAGGGTTAAGGTTGGATTTTGTAGGGTTGAGGGAGGACTTGGTGGGGTTTGGTTCAGCTGGCTGGATGGGTTGAAGCTGGGCACCTTTCAGTTGAGATGGGAGGGCTCAGTTTTGGTTTAGGTTGGCTTGACTGGTACGAGACTTGGGTTGTGCTAGGTTGGTTGTAAGATTTATGATTTTATGATTCGGTTAAGGTGTGGATGGACTTTATTGGAAATGAGCCCTGCACTGGTCTGGACTGGGATAGAGTTGGTTAGATTTAGGATTAATAGGCAGGGTAAGCACTTGGAGAGAGTGTTCTTGATTTATATTTTTGTTAGCAAAGCTGGCATGAATCTTGCAATTAATGGCGTGTTCACATTGATGGAGTTGACCGGAACATAAATTGCAAAAGGGTATAGGCTTGGCCCTGACAGGGTGTGGTTCATTAAATGTTCCGGTAAGTAGATCCAATTACGTTTAATTTAAAAGGGTGTTCCTAATTCAAGATTTTTTTCATCAACAACTTGTTACTTTCTCTCTTGCTATACAGATGTATCACTAGACATCCCCCATCGGTTTAGATCAAGAAGCAAGTCCAAAGATGGGTCTAGAGTTTGTCGGATACAAGGTGAGAGAAGGTGACAAAAGCTCTCGGGCCCTTGACCCGATTATTTTTCCGACTGTGCAACACCCTGGCAATCACTGTTCATCCCTGTAACTTGTGACTGGACGTGCGTAATGACCGGTGATTGACTTACAATAAACTCGAGACTGGCTCAATTCGGAAACAGCCCAAAGAAACTCTGGCCGTTCATCTGATAAGTCAGGATGGTATTCATATATATCTGTTCCTCCTCCTTTCAGACTGTCTACAGAGCTTCACAGAGGTGGAGGAGTTGGCCGAATCCGAGCATTACATGTGCACCAACTGTCAGAAGAAACAGCCCTCCACCAAAAAGTTCTGGTTCCGCAAGTTGCCTAATGTAAGTACAGGGGCTCTCCGTGAATGGTTTCTGTTGCAAACGTTGCACCACTTTCATGCCATTACCAGAGACAGAGTGTATTGTGGCCCTGTAATGATTATCACTTTTTAGTCTGTGCACATAAGGCAACATTTGCCGAAGTTGGTGCTTAAAACACTGAGGTTCAATCTTCGTGGTTATATTTTGTAGACTGCATGCAGTATACAGTTCGGAATTCGCCTCTGAAAATGTTAACAGCGGAGTTGGAAATCAGCTATTAATAGTGAACATAGCTTTGACCGTGATTTGACAAACATGTATACATGGTAATGTAAAATGAGCTGTGTATTTCATTCATAAGTTCCACTTAAGAGCATTTTTTTTGTTGCTTAATGTCCTATTAAACTTAAAGTCCATAAAAATTACTTTATGGATCCCCCTGTGACAAATCATTGTTAAATGTAAATGTATTCTTCCTTATTTTTGCATTGCTGCAGGTATTGTGCATGCACATAAAGCGATTTCAATGGACAGGGTTTCTTCGCAGTAAGATTGACGTGTTTGTTCAATTTCCGCTCAGGGGTCTGGATCTCAGACCATACATACTCAAACCAGAGGCAAGTACTTGTGTACGCAAGATAGTTAGGTACCCAGCCACTACGAGGAATGACTTTGAAAGGCAAACCGCTTTTACAATGTCAGGCGTGACCAGTCCTGTTAGTTCTGGTTACAGTTACCTGATTGTGGGTTGTCAAATGTGCTTAATTCAGAGTAAGCAACATCACGACACAATAGGGTCATTTCGCTGGTCATTTTTTTAAACCCAACACAATCCGCTCCAAGCGGAACAAAAGAGAGCGTGTTTTTTGGTACTCACCGCCTAGGCGCACAAGTATATGCTCTTTTGACGCGGATCACGTTGAGTACGCATAACTGATTTATTCTGGCATGTATGGTCTTTGCGTACATGCAAAAACCCACTTGTAACCACCCGTCTTTCTTTTGCTGATTGGGGTGCACTTCAGCTCGGGGCAGATAGGGTAATTTCGCACGTCATTTTTTAAACCCAATACAGTTACTGGGCCTTGCACTTGAAACCCTCTTGGTAATTTTTAAAAGGACCCCTTCCATTTGTTTGTGGACAGGAATTACCCGACAGCGACAGTACGGTATACGACCTCAAAGCTGTAGTTATACATCAGGGATCTGGGTAAGAATTACAGACGTATAAATGCAGGATTTTTGGCGGTCAGTGTTCAGTTTACTCAGATGTTCATGGAAACGCACACGCTTTTGAAGCCTCTCTGCATTCTGATGTAATGGAATTGCTAATAGAGAGACCCATGTTCGAAAATGCACTCGCCGCCACGGACTTGGAACGTTTCCTGAACCGCCTTTGAGCGTCAAGTGCCGTCACATAAAAAGCCTGTGTTCTTCTGATTTTAAAAAGTACGGTCCAACAATAGGCGAAACGATGGATGGCAGCACGCATTCAGTGGGCATTGTGCGTAACGCACTTCCATTGTCTGTATTTGTTTACATTGTCATCTCAAAATACATTCACGTTTTTGCTCTTTGGTACTGCTATCTCTTTTCAAATTTTGCAACCGCATTGTTTTGAAATGTACACAGCCAGATAATTTATAAAAGGATTTTTTTCAGAATTGAAAAATGACTTCATAGAAGTTGTATGGTTGGAATTCTTCCACTGTGCGTAAATTTCCTACACTGAATTTGCCCATAGTTTTCATTTTAGTTGGGTGCTGCGAAGTTCACAAAGTGTGCATGTAGTTTTGAATGTGATCTAGCAGTCCATGCATTTATGTACCCATGGTAGAAACAGTGTGGAATGAACAACGCCACCAAGTGGCAGGTGGTTCACAGCCTCCCACAAGAGTGGAGAAGAATTTCCCCAGTGCAGTCTAACTTCCACCCATTTGCCCCCGATCCATTAAAAATATGAATATATGATTGACATCCCTGCAATGTTGATAAATATGCAGAAGCCAATAGGCCTGATGACGTCACACTTTGGTTAAATGCGCACTTTTCTACACCAGCCTGTTTGGGACGTCAGATTTGAAGTTCAGTGGGAAAGCTTATAGGCAAACAAAGCTTGACTTTGTGTTTTGTTTTTACTTTCAGTGCTGGGTGTGGTCACTATGTTGCCTTTGCCAAGAATGATGGTAAGTCGAAATGTCTGTCTTGCCAGGTGTCACAGTGGCATAGAAACGGGCAGGGATAAACCACCTGTTCTCCCCAACAAAGACCATTGCTGACAGTGACCAGAGAGCCCTGCAAGCTGAGAGGAAAACCCCCTCAAATTTAAATATTATTCCCTGCTATTTTTTAACGCTTCAAAAATTCCCTCCAAGTTGTCAAAAGGCAACAATGGCAGTGAATTTGAAACTCTAGGAAGTGGAAAGAAAAAACATTGCAGAACATGTTGAGCTCATAGCATCCTAAAAGGGGGTTGGAAACTCATTCCATAATGTGCTTGGTTGGATTCGAACCCCCGAACACAAAAAGTAAAAGGCTCGGCAAGTTGCCACTAATGTTGACATTCTGTGTTGTCCGTGCAGGTCAGTGGTTCTGCTTCAACGACACCACGGTCTCGCCCGTCCACGAGTCGGTGGTGCTGCGCAGTAAGGCTTATATCCTCTACTACACACGCCGCAAGGCCACGCAGGACGACTGCTTCCAGCTGGTCACGGCCCTACAGGAGGAGTTGCGATCGGAGGGCAATGTCCGGCTGAGCAACACCACCAGCTAGGTAGACTAGTTGGAGGGGGATGGACAAGGGTGATTTGGTACTGACTGACGCCGTTGCCTGTTTGCTTTAGGGGGTCAGGATATCTGTCCAGGCTTAGCCGCGCACTCAACACAGGTGCAAATAAGCTTGCTGGTTAAACAGTTTAGGCATAGTTTGATCAAGCTGTGATACCAAGGGCTCTCGTTGGCTATCTTCTGTTTTTGTCCCGCAAACAGTGTGAGATACCTCTAAAACAAAAAGCGGATTCTGGCAGTGTTGTCGAGACCATCACAAGACCAGACGCAAGACTAGACATAAGACTAGTTGTGAGTAGCAAGGTGAACATTAAAACGGGAATGCTTTTTGGAAGTTTGAGTAGTTCGCGACTTGAATTCAGACTGGTGGTCTAGTGTTGGTCTTGTGGTGGCCTCGTGGGAGTGTGTGATAATCGTCGGAGGTCTTGACCGCGCCCCAGGATGCTGTGGACGTCTTTGCCCCTTGCAGCAGAGGCTTGAAAATTAAGCTGTGTCCCAATCAAGAGGCTGTGGCTGGCACTTCCACGTGTATCTACGGGGAGTAGCCGCAGCCCCTAGCCAGCAAGTCCATGAAAAGTCATTTGGTCTCAAACCAAGTCACAAGCTATCCAAATGAACTGTGATGCACCCTTCCTTCATCGCTGTGCATTCTGACACTTGCGACTGACTTGTGACGGGACTTTTCTAAGGTGTCCAACGGATTCAACCATGACACTGCAGTGAGCCCACCGTACTTGTGAAAAATTGCAGCTTTGCTCGAAGTGAATTAAAAAAAGGCAGCTTTAGGTATTTTGTTTTCTGTTTTTTCGCTGTATGTGCCCAAACAGGAGAATAATCTTCATGCATCCAGTCCTAAATGATGAGAGTTCTACAGCAATGATGTGCATGTTTCAAATTTAAGCTCTCCATTTCCATCTTGAACCTCCCTTTATGTACAAATGCCAAGTGCAGAATCCAGCATTTATTTGCCGTGACATCAGTGCTTGGGCTGCGTGAAGTGTTGAAGCATGAGGCCCCTTTGATGTGGAAACTTTGCGTGCGTGCCCAGATTTATGCTCCCAGCATACAAGCCCGCTTTCTGTATTGTCTTCGCGCGTGCCCCGTGCATCCAGTTTTCACCTGCCGTCTTTTCTTGGCCTATAAGGGGGTGGTTCTAGTCAAACTAGATACAGGTTAACAAGCCAATATAAACTCTCCTAGGAAGCATTTTGGGGGGATATCAGATGTAAGCACTGCCGTGAAACTGGAACCAGACTTGTAGGGAAAGTTGACTCGTACCAGTTGTGCATGGAGCAAAGTAGTATGGAAGTCATTCATGCACAGCGGGACATGCCAACCCCCGAGTGGTCATCACTTGGTGTCAGTCAGTCTGCTGGCCCTTACATGCTCTGACCATCCGTGTAGCTTCCCTGCGGTTTATGAGGCACTCAAATCAGTCCCCACCGGAATTGATGGCACTATCCAAGCTGTGCATAAGGGTACCTTGGCCTTCTTCCTATACCCGACTTTGTCTCCGTCTCAGACTTCATCTCTAAAATCAATCCCTGATTGTAGGCGCAAAACGATCAAATTAAATTGAAGTACTGTAACATTTTGCATCTTGTTTGATGTTTCTGTGGCACTATTGGACTTTTGAGCTAAAAATTTCAAGGTCAAGTGGTTGAGAAAAAGACGGAGATGAAGTCGAGCAGTGCAAAATGGTCTTGAGCTCCATTCTATCATGCTGTTTTGGTAAGTGGATGCTGTATAGTTTTGCAGTCAACTTGAAACCCCTATTGATGAAAGATTTCCACAATTTATGATGATTTTTTAAAAATAATTAAGAACAGGGTTTTTCCCTTTAGTTTTCTCGGTCATGCCACTTTAATGTGGACCACAAGTTGCTGACTTAATGAGGAATTTGACTCGATTCAGACTAACTTAGGTGGTCCCATCTAGGTAATCCCAGGGAAGCTACATAAGCACACCCAGCTTATTAAAAAAACTGACCATACTACAAGGTCGTCAAGGAAGAGATATTTTGGAATACAAAACCTCCATATATTGAAAGGTTATTAAACTGTAAAATTGCAAATGCCAACATCAAATTTCACTATTTATCTTGCCTGTGTAACCCGCGGTGCTTAGTATACAGTGGCAGAAGTTTTTGCCCACATTCATTGCAGAGGAAAAGACTTTTAGATGGGTGTTATTGATGTTCACCAGTGGCCTTTTGCCGGCGATAGGAAAGTTAGAAATTCACACTTTTCATCTTGCATTTCCTTGTATGCTAGCTGTGCAGACCCGTTCTTGTTGAATAGTCTTGCGACCAGTTGATAAGCCGAAAGAAATCTTGCAGAAAAAAATGGCAGAAAACGTTTGAAAACGGGAAGATGAGAATGGGTCTGTTGAGGTCACTGGTAGTGATATTTGCGCGCAAAAATACCTTCAACTATCTCATGCTAACTTGAAGTTTCCAGCACATTCCATATCCATGGTATTAACCAAACAAAACCAGAAAAAAGGTACAGTATGGAAGTACCGCCAAAAAAATATCAAAACGTAAAATGATTTGAAAAAAAAAAGAATGAATGTTTGATTCAGTTTGACAGGTGCGGAGATAAAAATGCCATGTTTACCTATTTATTTACAATTATAAGTTTTTGGCTCATTTTATTTCGGCACTGTTGTGTTAAATTATGAGCATTTAGATGTGCAAGAAAAGTACTAACAAGAAAAAAAAATTAATCTAATTCTAGAATCTTGGGTTTTTTCCCTTTGTTGTTTTCCGCCAAAATCAGTTTGAAATGGAAATTCTGTTTTAATTTTGTTATTTTGCTTCTTTGATTCTGTTTTTGTTGAAGCAAAGCCATGTAAACAGAAAGACGTAAAGTTGGGATAATGCATTATATAAATCTGTTCATTCATTTTTGATTTGAATGTGGAACTGCTATTTCGGCGTTCTGAGTTTTCCTTGTGTTTTCCGCCCCTTTTTGATTACAGAGAGATGCTTTTACAGGGAAAATATGTCATTGAAATTCACATTGTCACTCTTTTTGCTTGTATATACTTTGACATGAATGTTTAATACGATATATAGTGTCAAACATTCTAGTTTGATCGCGACAAAAAAAAAGATAGTATAGAAGGATGTATAAGCCAGAGATTAGAGTTAGTTTAGTCGATTAGATCTAGCTAGTAAATTAGTGCCAAGGAAAGTAAAAAAAAGAAAAAGCAAAAAAAATTAAATGTCACTGTAAACTGAGTGACAAGTTCACTGGTAATTCATCTGTTATAAAAAGATAACATCTTAAAGATTTTGTGGACAACATTTTTTATTAAGGTGACCGAAACAGATTAGATAAATGTGAGCTTGGGATGTGCTGTATACAGATTTCCTTACTAACACTCATTACCATATTGAATTCATAACCAATCCAGGTCAGAGGCTTTTAACAGAAGCTTAGATGCTTTTGTGTTATATGAAATTAATCATTTAATATGACATTTGATTTTATCCAAATCAGCTGGTGATGATACCACCAAAATAATGTTATATTTATTTTTTTCTGTTGCAGCTTAATCCCAAACTTGTATCCAGAGAAACCGCTCTATTTTATAATATTTAATATTTCATGAACCTGGCTTTTCTTTCATGCTTTTGTCTGACATTTTTGTCTTTAGTAGGTATATCCAGCAAGAAATGAGACCGAGGGGTACCCCCCCAACATGTCCAATCACTATACACTTTCTAGACTGTTGTTATCCAACACATCCCCCCAGATGGCTAAACAGAACTCCTCAGATTCCAGTGAAACAACGACCAATACAAAGCAGGGGGGGTTTCTCTCCGTCTTATATCTTGCTTCATATGTTAGCAGGTCTGAAAACACTAATGAACTCTTTGGACTTCTGTGTGTGGGGGGAGTCCAACTGGAGTCTGTAAATTGGGAGGACACAGAAACCTTTTTCCACCACAAATGTTTTTGATTTTAATACTTCCGAGTGATAAACTGCAAGTGCGTGTGGTTTGGAAAGTTGCCAAACAACAGTTTGTATATTGGCAAGTATGAATGTATAATCTACAGCCATAGTGTCATGAAACGTAATATGCAAAATCTGCCTGCAGTAACTCCCCAGAAGGGACATGTGTGCGAAAAATTAGAGTGGATTAATAAAAGCTTTGTCTGGTGCAGAAAAGTACAAAAGCTCGTAGAAATTACTGCACGATTTCCCTGATTGACACATGGAGTGAAATTAATACCCGTTTAAAATCCTTTCCCTTTGTCAGACTTTTTGAGACAAGCCTCACCACACTGCCTACATTTTGTACTCAGAAAATGACCTTATGCATCTCCCAATGACCAAATGTTCCAACTGTTGACATGAATTACATTTGGCAGTAAAATTACAAATCCACTTTGGTTTCCCTCATTGCCCAGTACCTCTGGCAGAAATTAGCGGATAACATTTTATGCTAACACTGGGTGATTTGGTTTCTTTGCCGTGGGGTTTGTTGGGGGGGCACAGGCAAGGAGAAAGTTTACTATTTGTTAATGCTTTTTATTGTATGTCTTTATTTTTTTGAGATGCCATAAGCGACCTGTGTTGGTGAAGATGACATGATAGTAATTTAATGGAAGTGGGAAAAGCACCATGTGTCTCAAAAAGAAATCTTGAAGCAAGACTAGATGAAGCTCCCTGTATTTAGATTGAAGCTTCACAAATGAGAATGAAACCAAAATACATGTGAAGCTTTAGATTTTGGGGAGGCTGTTTGTAAAAATTGTAATCTTGTCAATGACTGGGAAAAATCTGAATCTGGGTTACAATGTTTGTTTGAAGGAATGGACCATATGAAATGGTATTGTTAAGAGTGACTTTTAGAGTTCATTGTGAGCTGGAGAAATCAACAAGGTACTGACATTTTGGCCGTAAAATGCTGTTTTGTCCAAAGTCAACTTTTTCGCATCCTTTACGCAGTGAATTTTTAAAAAATGTTTCTTGAAAAATGAAAAGTTTCACCTTCCTTCAAAAAGCCCCCAAATGTAGCCTAATCCCTTGGTAAGGCTTTTGCAAAGTTACACAAAGAAATTTAAATATTTTTGCCTCCCCCCCCAAAAAAAATTGCATTTGGGTGATTTGGAGAAAATTGTAATTTGTGCCGAGTAAGAATATGAGAAATACTCAAATAATAAGAAAACAACACAAGCATTTTTATCAACATGTGTAAATTTCCTGTCCTATGACACCAAGGAAAGGTTGTCTCATATTACATGTTCTGCAAGGGAAGATATTTCATTCCTTTTTGTGGGATTAAATATCAACATATGTTGCTCACTGATAAATGAGATTTTGTTTTGACACAGCTTGACAGCACCATTAATTTGTCAATTTCCTCATGGATTTTTCAGAGTTCAATTTGAACACAAATTGTAGCTGCTGTGCTCTTTAAATATTAATTTGAATGGCAATTTGTTATTGAAAGCACTACTTGACTGATACACATTGACTGGTGTATATTAAATGTAACGTGAAATAGTTCTGTGACAATGACTGAACTGTACAGTGTTGACCATTTCTGTTGTTGCTCTCCTGACATAAATGTGTGTGACTATTTGACGTATTGATGCTTTGTAGTTCAGTATTTCTTGTACATGAAACGGGGGCCACCACAGACTGTAGACTCGACCTGTGCATACTGATTAAAACTAAAAAAAAGTGATCGGGTACATGCAAGAGCTGGTGTGTTGGCAGTGTTTATTTTGTTTGGTTTTTTTTTTTAGGGTTTTTATACCAAGGTGTGGGGCAAACGATCGTCTTTACAGTACTTCAGTTCTGCTTACACTCCACAAAAATTAGAAAGATTATCAGTCCCATGGAACTATGGAACTGAGAACCTCAAATGTAGTAATTGTGACATTATTTCCGGTGACAAAACCTGAATTTTTGTGTAACTCTCATGCTGTGGCAGAATATCACTTTTCCCAAACGAGGGCAGGTTTGCATCCCAATCTACCGGACGTATAAAACAAGTACACCTCCATTTCTGTGCATGCTGATCATGTGCTTTTATTCTGTTACACCTTCACTGAAAGAAAAAAAAAAAAGTACATGGATATTTCCCCTTGAACACAGAGAGTATATCACAAGACTGAATGCAAGAAACACGGGTAATGATTAAACGAGAGACTCAAATCCTGATTGATGTGGGGAAGGGATAAATTGACAAGTCAGAAATCATTCAATTGTCGGTAAAACAAGGCCATCTTGAGTGACTGCAAGAACTCTTACCAAGTCTGGGGACCCCCCCTCTGGTGAAGTTTTAATTCTGCAGCCCACCAAATTTCTCAGGTATGGTCAAATTACGGTCGTCAAGCAATCACCTGGCACCAGTGGCCCAACGGGGGTACATTTCACGGACAGCAATTAATTGAGGGCCCTTACTTTCTCTGTGGGGGGGGGAGCATGTTACCATCTGAAGTACCTCATTCTCACAGAGTAAAAGGTAAAACATTGCAGCTATCGCCAGGCTTTCCTTCTGTAATTTTTGATGAGGGGGTCATAAGCCTCGGGTGAATGCCTGGGCCATATAGACTTAGTTCGGGCGGTGTGTTCTCGTACGTTCATGAACAGTTTGGTTAGTTCGTGGGGTCAGCCGCTTGAATGCTGGGATCGTACAGCTGGTTATCACTTTTTTAAATGGCATGCAACATGGTGGCGTCCATGTACGTTGTTCGAGGGGTAATGTTTGAATTGGGCTGAATTCTATTCTCTTTAAAGAGGAATATTCATATTTTTGTGATTGAAAATTGATATTAATAGAAATTATCTCCAGCTTTGTAAGCCATCTCGCTATTTTTCCAGCTATTTAGAAATCAAAATCTCACTAGTTTACTTCTGGGAAACCCCGATGAGGAGGTGGTGTGTGATCCTGTCCCGAAAACAGTGTTCTTTGGTCGTGTTCCTGCTGTTCGAGCGCGAGAGCAGCGTCAAGAACAGGCCGCCCGAACTCGACCATAAAGCTTTAAGTTGAAAGAAACATTCCCGTTTTGATCTGGTATGAAGTGCAAAAGGATACAGACATGTTTGGTGATCAGAGGTGCCCTGAACTCCATCTTACTTTGATGAAATATCTCCGTCGATGACCCTACAAACAATACCTACCAAACTTACCTCCACATACGAATGCCAAGCACTCTTGTTTCTCTTGCCAACTCTTGGATTGTGGATGACACAACCTTTCACCTTTGGACCCAACCTTGCAAAATCAGCCAACAACAAAGGACTGCTACCAAAAGGGTGCGTCTTGAGTTCCCCACCAAAACAAAATGCGTGAAACTAGCAATGCCAAAACTGTGCGTAAGGACTTGTTTGACACACCATCTAGACTTTTCGCTGAATGTGAGACTTCTCGCGGATGGGAATCAGAGGTAAGAAATCTCGTCAGTACCTGACTCATTTTGGATGACAGTGCAAAGACCACATCTGAATAGTAAGGTAAAAGCCAAGAAGAATTCTCTCTCAGATGAAGCTGGCTGTGTGCATAAAGTGCCATGAAACATCCTTTTCCTTTCAAATAGTTTGGGAAAAGTACGTAAATTTCTGTTACAAGCCCCATGGTTATAAAGGAATTCGGGCATCACTATTTAAACAGCTACACACGTATGACCACACTGTAAATTTTCCTCCATTCTTGAAGAACTTCTTTTTCAGCTCGCAACAAATAGAAAGGGACAGGAAAACAATTGAGTGCCCCAAAACTGGAAGACCTTCAGAGAACTGCCACCAAAAGTGACAAATGGAATGCTCCATGACACTTTAAAATCCTAACAAGCAGAATAACCTGTGACCAGCATTGGTTATCCTACTAAGCCATGTACAAATTGTTACCTTATAATGCACCAGTAAACTTCCCAAAACTGAATCAGGAGAACCTGTGAACCAAATACTTTACACCAAGTAAATTTACTAGACCATTTGGGACAGAAATTCCTTTACTGTATCTGGTGGCCACATGCTTTTATTGACGACAACTGCACAGCATTCAACAAATCCTTTGACTTTTTGCTGAGGCAAATTCTAACAAACATGAAACACACCAATGACTTTATCAATTATTTGATTTTAAAAATTTCAAGCACAAGATTTGTAAAAGAGTCTCTAGTTTCCAGACCAAAGTTGACAATCAACAAAAGGAAGTCTTCCATGAAAAATCCATTTGAGTGGATTTAGAGCATAATTATGACACCTGAAAAACCTCTACAACAATAAAACATGCGAGTAGCTAACTCAAGGGTGATCTTTCACAAAAAGATCTCAAGATCTGTAAGGAGTAAAAATTTGGCAACCACAAAAGAAAGCAGACAGCTGTGACTTGGGAAAAAATGCCTTGTATTTACAAAGAACCCCCCCCAAAGAAAGAAGTTCCTTCATTTTTTCTCTAATCAAACAATGAAAATGAAGCAAACCTTGAAAACAAATGACTTTGTGTAATTTGCAATAACCTTATTGTCTTGACATGCATTTTAATGCAATTCAATATCTCTTAAACGTGTCATTGAGAAAAAATGAACATCTGAATATGACGGTGAATCAGAGACCAAGAAAAACTAGGAACTATCATTCAAACATGTGGTCAAATGCTTCAACCTTGATATGACTTCATGGCTTGATGAGGACTGACCGACACTCTCAGCACACAATTTCACTACATGTTTTCATACTAGATAATTTCTAATTAGATTTGCAATCTGGTCTCAGATGCCACACCAAGACAACAAATTACTTCATCCCGTCAATTTTTCCAAGTTTTTTTTTTAAGTCTATACACTTCAGCTAAAAATTGCAATAAAGACCATTACTTACATGTCTGCCCAGTGTACAGACATATTCCAATGCTTAACAATGTATGGAAGAGAAAATGTATCTGAGACATGACCGCTTTAAATTTTAAGGATTGTTTGACCAATTTTACACCCCCCCTCCAAGACAGCCACAACCATACCGTTCAGAGAGACTTTAGAGAATCAAAACCGACCAAAGGTAACTGCAATACGACGACCCTTCAAATTGGCACCGTTCAGCAGCACTGGTGAGAAATGAGGTCAAGGCAAAATATCCTGTGTGAACCAAAATGACAATGAAACTGATCTTGTGACCCAGTGAACAGGGGTATGCTGTTTCTACAATTTGAATCATCTCGCGGTAATACAATGAGTATTTCTTTAAATTCTGACTCAAAGGATACATATGGCTTGCTGGGCATGCTGCGGATTATGGTATTTCACTGTCCCAAAGCCTTTTGATTTCCCTTCATTGTCCTTCTTAACATCTGCATAGTAAACCGGTCCTAAAAACAAGACATTTAAAGAAACAAAACACTAAGGCGGGTTTGTCTGTTTTGATGAACAAAGTCAGTGGCAGAAATGATTATGGACCAGTGATTTTTGCAAAGGAATTATGGTTTGTCTGTCAAAAAACCTGTTGAAGTGTGTCAACAGGCCATGTTGTTTGAAATTTATTTTGTCACAATGTAATATCAGTTGGTATAATTTCACGGGTGACGATGCTCATGTGATGTGCGGAAGAAGTTTATGGATGACCAGGCATTAATGTCATGTCACTTATGTACACTGGATGCATGCTATGTGAAATTTCCAAGTTACTGAGAGATAATGTCTGTGCTGCTTTACATAAAAAGGTTAGAATTGGCCCTTGGCATATTAGCAAAAGATGGAAAATCATTTTTCTTTAAATTCCTCACCAATCTTCTTGAAGCAGTCCTTGAGATCCTCCCAAGACACTTCAGGGGAAAGCTGAAATGATAAAAACAAAATCAAGAAAATCTGACTTGCATTCATCTCGTATCTAAGCATTCATGTGCTGGCTTGGTTCCACAGAATTCCTGCACTGCATTGTTAGTACTAAGCAAATCTTGTCCCAGCCAATTTGACACCTCAGGGTCAGTGTTTATCTCCAGTTTCCTTGGCATGAAATGACTGAGAATATTTCTATTTCCCCAGGATGAGCTGCCATGCCAGTCCATCGCAGGTTGCTTCCCCAGCTAATGCTGGTACCCATTTATACTCCTGGGTGGAGAGAGGCAAGCAGGGGTGAAGTGGCTTGCCAAGGGCCACAACATACTGTCCCCAGCTGGATTCGAACCTCTAACCCTATGATTGGAAGCCACAGACCCTATCACTTGGCCACATGCCCCTACTTTGTTATTACTAAACTGCACTGTATTTTTGGCATTATGGGCACAGGACAGCGATTCTTGGTCCAAATTCTGTGATTGGCACAGCCACAACATTAAGCTCAGGATCAAATCTGATATAATTGCTATGTGGAGAACATTTTTTCAGCCAAGAAGTTACTTACTCGGAAAAAGGTAGTGTAGCTACCAGGCTAAAAGATACTATATTCAGAGATCTTTAAGTTCTGTAACGACCATGGTAACTTGACTTACTGTAAATGGGAAGAATTCCTCCCATTTCCAAAGTGGTTCCCTTTTTTCTGAACCCATCATGTTAATTGTCAGATAGTGTCGTCAATATCCGCAAATGTGGGAAGAGCCTAAATTGTTTCTCTTTGAAGATTTCGTAATATGTATAAAAAATTCACAAAACCTCCTTGATTATCATGATATTTTCTAAGCAAAACTTCGATTGAAAATTAAAGGATGCGCTCCTGCTTCATCTCATAATGCAAGCAGCATCCCAAACATGTCATACTTATTTTAAGAGATGGTGGCTACTTGCCATACATATTATTGATAAGGCAGGGAGCCAGCCTAAGCAGAAGCATGTTACCAGCCAAGATGCCATTCACTCTACACTCCTTGTCACCGTTTCATCTCACCTAGCTTTAGCTCTGGACACAAATCTTCTTAGCAGTATTTTGATATCTAAGCAGCTTTGGCCTCTGAGCTTCCAAGAGTCCACACAATCTTCAGGTTACACATTCTGTAGCATTTTCTGTAATCTCTACAGAGTGGGGAGTGGGGTGACCTGTACTCACGTTTCGGACGAAGACTTGGCAACCTTGGCTGGGGTCTACGGCACCAGGGGAACCCTGGACATAGTTCCTCATGGGACCTCCACCGAATCCTCCCCCGTAGCCCCCTCCGGCGTCGCCTGATGGGTATCCCATGCCAATTCCCATGTCGAAACCCCTGCCAATACCTGTGACATACAAAAAAAAAACCAGGAATCTGCAAAATCACAGAGACTGCCGAATGCTCCGCTTTGAGTCATCTCCTCTGGTGTAGTGTTAATCGAAAACTTGTCATATCCAGGTGGGTCAAGGTCATCCTTCCGGTGCCAGCAAAAATGTTTTAGAAATGTTTTGTTAAATTCTGTGTTACGTACTTAATGACTTTCTGCTGTAGGATTATGAGGTCTTTTGAAGTTTTTTCCTGAAACTGACAAGGAAGTTAGCAAACAGAAACAAACAAGAAATCTTTGCAACTGATACAATGCTCTCAAGTGGTGACAGAAAGCGGTGAACACTCTAGAGGGCAGTATTGAACATGCATGCATGACCACTACGTCAGCTGAGTGTTGCAATAAGAGCCATACCTCCCATGGGCCGATCATAGCCACCCCCGAAGTCTCCGCCTCCGCCCATCCGGTTGAACATGGCGGCCCCTCCCATGGGTCCCCCCATCATGGCTCCGCCCATGGGCAGCCCACCCATGCCGCCGCCCTGCGGACCTCTTGCCAGCAAGTTCTGGCCAATCCCGCCCAAGCCCTCTGGAAGACATTAAATGACACCATCAATGAACTACAACTAACATGCTTTGGCATTGTAGGCTGAACTTCAAGTGCTGTAGGTTTCAAGACTGTGGTTCGCACTCCACAAGGGAACTTTCATATTTGGATTATTCCAGAAATTGGTCCAAATGTGTGACTTTTTGTGTCCCTGGTACATCTGACCTTTGTTATTTGACATGGAATTATCGCCGGAATTGATTTCAAAGTATTACTATTTGTTTGGCAGCTAATTTGCATTAATTCTTCAATCTTGGAAATTAGAAATGTGCTCTGAAACTTACAAAAGCATACTGTTTGTCAGATGTGACAGGCACATGAAAAAAAACAGACCCCTAATTTCTGAATTTACACGTTTTCACTCTTGGACAAGGTGCTCAGAAGCAGTCTACCTTCTTTCTCTGCATCCAAGAATAGAACAGGTCAATGTCAGCACGGAAACCTTATTAGCATATTGTTTATTGTTCCTTATAAGTTCCCTTGCGTCAAGGGATAATTGAAAATTTGTCCATGAGGAGAAACTGGACAGTCAGTGGTGCTCCATGCAGCACACTGTAAAACCCCTTTGATGGTTTTGGACTTCACAGAGAAGTTGGAGACCGAGCACTGAAATGGTAATCTCTTTCTATCAAGCTCTACCTGTTTGAGAATTAGGAGAGTGTTTAATAGCATTCATATAGAATGACTACAAATAGCTATGAAATCACGTTTATAATTACAATACAATTGTTAGAGCTTCGTTCACTTTTTCAAGTTTTTGAGAACACCGCTACATCTTCGAAAAACTACAGAACAATTCAGGTGTGGATATTCAACAGCATACAGAATTCCAACTAAGCAAGATTTTTCGGCTAAAAATTCAACCAAAGATTTACTCACGGGGCAGTTCCTTCTGTTTTTCTGGATCCTGCAAGCGCTTTCTACTTTTGTCCTTTGATCACAAACAAGAAGCAAACAGTGAATGTTTCTATGATTAACGATTATGTGTGTGTATGAAGGGTTTATTAGTGTTTTGGGTTAGGGGTAATCATTCTTTACATGGATTGTTCCCTTACACTTGGCCCAATGAAATCCTGTTACAAAATGTACATGTACAAGACATTTTAAAAGGACGTGCTTTGTCAAATCAAAAGAAACACAAGTTAAAAACCTGCATTTTCCAGGTTTCCTGGAGGCATGTGAAAAACTGGAGCATTTCAGTCAACATTCCAAATAACCCAAAAATGTTTGAAAACAGCTCTTGGGGTGCCAGAGGGGTAAAATATACGAACCATTCGGACGCTCATCTTCAGCTCAAACAAGGATTGGTTGTCAAACATAGCTGTTTGGGCAATTCAGGAAATTCACAATGCAAGATGCGTAGGATATCAAATGTACAAACCACTTGGCAATGTGGCAGGGTCTGGGCATAAGAGCGCCGGTGGTGTTGACAAAGGGAAAGGCTGGACACCCTTTGAACATTACGGAATCATGCACTCATCACAGATTCAAACACTTGACTGAATCATGTGTGGACACTTTGGCTGGCCATCAGCAGACAAGCAAAATAATAATTTAGCAAGTGGTAAAAGATCTATCGGCTATCAAAACATCATGTAATATTCACTACTTCTTGGTTATAAATGTAAACTATCACGTTGCTTAAACAGTCCCGAGGCTAATGTGTATTTTTAGGTCAATCTGACAACTAAGGTCTTATTTCTGCAAACTTTGGCCGCCCATACAAATTCTTGGCAAGTTGAGAGTGGCTTGTGCTAAGCAGAGTCTGTGGGCCAAGGCCTAGTCAATGCTAGGTCCATACCAAGGATACAGATGGCATTGACTGCCTCCTCACAGGAGGAGTAGGTGACTGTCGCCAGGCCAAGGCTCTTCCCTTGTTCGTCCTTCAAGATTTCCAGATTCATGACCAGACCGGCCAGGCTGAACACGTCCTTGAGTTTCCTCAAGTCCACCTCTTCTGAGAGCTATGACGACCAATACATCAAAGATGACATAAGCTATGACGGAATCGGTACTTCCCTGGTCCAAGGATTGACTTATTGCAGCAGAATCGCATCAATTCAGCATGTGAAATATTGCCCAATACAAATTAGAAGCAGGACATGCAAATCATGAGACAAAACAAAACTCAGAATGCAAAATTCCATGAGGCTGTCTAACGGGCACGGCTAATTCACAAACTTTCTTAAGTCTCTTGAGCATGTCATTAGGTCTCTAATCATCCTGGTTAGATTGGTAGTAACTTGTGTGATTTGTGTTACTTAAGCAAACTCTAACATAAGAGTCTCAACTGGTTAAGCTTGGCATAAATTTCAAGCTCTGATGGCTTAGTTCAAAGTCCAAAATGACTCCTACAATCAGGGGTCAATTTTATAGCGCTGCTTATGCGAAAAATTTGTTTAAGCTTGAAAAAACCTTGCTTGGTTACCAGCCAAATCTTCTTGTGATGTATATTGTTTTGGAATGGTGTTTACCTGTCTTCTGGTTAGCATGACAATCACATAAAGTTTGAACTGGTAACCTTTGTTTAAGCAAGGATTTTTCGTGCTGAAGCAAATTCTGTGCTTAAGCAGCTCTATGAAATGGACCCCAGACAAATCTATTTCAGGTCAGGTCAGGTCTTGAGTCTAAACCTTGTTTTTGGCCCTTACTTTGCCCTGGAATAAATTTGCAGAGTGTCAACAAACTTGAGAAGCGCATAACTATTTCTGGAAAGGTAATTTTGACATTTACCAAGGTAATTAAGGGGGTTAAGGTATAGGTTAATATTGAGATATAACCACATTTCTTACACCTGAAGCACTTTTACACCTGATGCATTCTCGGTTATATTCAAGTTGGCAACAATATACGATCACTTAACTACACCTCTTCATACTCAAGGAGATTTGAAGTAATTTTAATTGGCCCTGAGAAACCGTGAAGCCTCCTCTATCCAAATTGACTTACATTGGCAACGTGAACTGTTTCCGAGACATCATCAGGGTGAATGCCAAGTCGGTGTAAGACTTCAGGGTTGACGATGGAGGACTGGGGTTTGACTACAGGTGGGCTTCGGTAGCGTGAACTGTAGCTTAAATCTCTGTCCTGAAGACAACATTGAGGAGAGTATTGACACGGATGTGAGATGAACAAAATTTCACAATGAATGTCCATCAAGATTACCCGATTCAGGAGCTCATGTGAATTCCGCTGTGGCTTTGCATCGGGGAAGTTAATTTTGTAGTAAGTTTTTTGTAGTAGGTTTTCACACTATTCATTCTCAGTGTGGTCCAAGAGTTTTGCAAAGAAAGGTTGTGTCAATTTGGTAGGCGAGGGAATTGTAAAATGGGGCCCTCTGGCAGCATCCAGCACGGAGACAGCATCCAACCGTCTGAGCTGCAGCTGGACTCAAGCTTGCCCCAACGGAAGATGCAGTTGGCAGCTGCCTATATTTCCATGCTGCATGTGCCCCCATCTTCCTCAGCAGAGAGGTTGCCTTACACACCCCCTCCCCCCGACGGGAGCTCCGACCAGCTTGTACTCACATCTCTCACCACCAGCCCACGGCCTTGGATTTGGTATTTTTTCATCTTGAATACAGCCTTCTCTACATCGGTGGGATTTTCCATCTCTACCACGCTGGAAGCACAACAAACAAGATAGAATTCCACGTTTCAAAAGGTCCACTTTGTTTTCGTTGCAGATAACTCCAATTTCATGACAGCCATCCAAACTGTTTGAGAATTCCATTTTGCATTTCATTACACATGTGGGCCCCGCTTTAGTGGATTGAAACGAATAAGCTTTCTGAAAAGAATAGTTCGCTATCGAAATTGAACAAATAAAGCCATCAAGAGTTGCTTGCTGTGCTTCAAACTGACAAATCATATTCAAAATTTACTCTAGAAATGTGCTGTTGGTCAAGATCCAAAATGAGTTTTCCCTGGTATAGGCCAACAAATGATACTGCACTATTTAATCTAGTGGAACCAAATGTTACTACACGTAAAAGCAGAACTTAACTTACCCACATCCCTAATTGGTATAACGGCACCAGTATATTCATTTGGACCACGCAGGTTCAGCAAAAGGGAAGAAAAAAATGTTTGAAAATTACACTGGTAAAAATTAACAAAGAAGAATTGAACATGGGTCTCCTACAAACGTGTCATAATCAGGCTGCATCTAATTATGATGGAGGCTTAAAACTGCAGCCACTCCTCAGATTTGCAAGTTAATCCTAGCCGCAGTAGCTCACTGGAACATCTTTGTAGGATAGGTAAAGCCATACAATACAACCTTACACATCAACCTTATCTCTCCCAGCTTCTTCAACATCCACTTTAATTTTGCAGGATTTGAGAAGATAGAGCCCAGCCACAATCAGTTTCCATGTGTTGTAAAATAATGGATTTTTATAATGGGATTTGGTAAAAGCTCAAATCAAAAATGCTAGGGATTTGGGGTCAACTTTTAATGGCACAAAACAACAACTTACTGTTGACAGTCCGCCCGGCTCAGGGAAGATTTCACAGAAAACAACTTTCCCCACTGTAATATAACATGGAAGAAAAATAGCAGCCTTTGAACTCCACAAGTTGATGATGTGGTCAGAAATCAAGGATGGGGGTGAGACGAGATGTTACACATAACAGAATGAGGGTGAATGATAATAGTGTGTTCTCTTCAAGGTTCCCAGACTTCCAAAGCTATGGCAGGGTCCATAAAGTCAGACTGTGCATGTTTATTTGCAACTGATAAAATTCTAAACCTAGCCGTAGACACAATATGACCTCAGAATAGGCCAGGTCAGAGCGGACATTTACAACATGCTACTTTAACCAATAACACAGATTTCGTTTAGATACCCTGCTTTTGAATGAACAGCAAATGAGGAACACGTTCAGTGCAGCATGATCCAAAGGCCAAATAGCCTAAGAGTTCCAGCCTGCCAGCCACAACAAATCTAGCAATGACATTCTTCATGTGGGACTAGCTCCTTAAGTCTCCAAATGAGCCAGTTCGGTATGTCAAAAAGGCAAGGTCTTTCAAAAAACAAAGCATGTGCGCAAATCGGTGTATGGCTGCACTCACAGGACACACCTCACGCGCGTATCGCTGTTTCCGAACAATCTCGGACAGGCTTCATCAAACTGGCTCATTGGCTGCTGTTTACAGGCCAGTGCAACCTCATCCCACAGACTTTCCAAATCAGTGAAACCTTGCTCTCAGCAAATTTTGATCCAATTCAACCAAGCATCTTCTGACAGGATGGTCGTAACAGAGGCATCCACCTCCTCTACCTTGTTGCTCGAAGAGATCTTTAAATTCTTGTTCGCTCAATTCGTAGGGAATGTTGCTGACAAAGACTGAGTTTGTGTAGGTCCTGGTGCCGATACCCTTGTAGGGATGAAACCGGATGCGAGATCGACTGCCCTTGAGACCGCCTCTGTAGTTTCTTGTTTGGTTGGAACTGAAACAGAAAAAGAAATTACCAAGTAACAAATATCTGCAAGAAAATAACACTTGTAATTCTGCCACAAGTCACTTCACAGCACTGGTGGCATGGACCGATGCATTCCTTTCTCTTTGCAGTTGATTTCTGCATTTATAAATATCATTTTCAATTGTGCAAAACATAATCGGAATGGATTTGTTATGCACAATCCTGAACCTTGGCAAATTTACTGTTCTCCATCCTGAGTTGATTTGCCTTTGAATAAACATCCATTCATAGGATAATCACCTCCGAAGGTAAAATAAATTTGCACAAGGTTCAAGATTGCACTTAACAGATTCATGTAGCCTAGTCATGACGTGTCACGAATGCTGTCAGTGTTACCAGGTTATGCAATGGAAGGGCGCAACTCTCTGTGACAACTGGGAGCTTCATGACTTTTCGCAGTGAAAGCAAACCACTACATTACAACACGGAAGAGTGAGATTAAGACAAGTCAATGGTGTTTTTAGCTCACTCTCGCTGGGTTGTGGAAGCTCTCACTCAGTTTGAAAACACGGCTAAAGTAGGGCAGGGCCTAAAGTTGTCTACCTTTTGCATCCAACATTTAAACTCAATTAGCTCACTGTTTCAATGTTCAATGGACACAGAAACAATTTTAGAAAATAAAGATAATAAATTTCACATTTTAAAATAAAAACTGCAAAGCGCCCTCATTGTTGACTTTGAATATGTTATGACACTTACAAATCAAATGTTTGATTCACCATGATTTTCACCTTTTATTAGCATTTTGTCCGTTTGAAGTAGTATCGAAACTTTCCGGCTCATCCTTTGGAGTATTTGTCATACTAGTGTCTTGCATTCCCATTGCATACTGCTCTTGGAATTGGTCATGTTGGTATTCACTTTCCACATTCATCTCCATTTTCTACAATTCACAACTTTAACTTGAACCGGGGCCTTTCATCTCATGCACAACGCCTGGGAAAATTAATGGCACCCAATGTAGGCTAGGCTGGTGCCATGGAGTTGCCTTACGAGATTGAACAGGCACATTATTATGTGTAGACGGGGGACGAGTCATTAATAACAACCACGAGATTCGTCCATCTGGGGACATCGTACTTCAGTTACTATTCTCAACCTCGTATCAAATTCAGAACGGATAGATCCGGTGTTGAGTTTCAGCAGGTAATGCACCTGGGAACGTTAAAACGTGGTTTTCGCGTCGCGCTACCACACTGAAATTTCGTGCGCTTGTATTCGACAAAGGTGTCCTGAATTTTTGTCCTAAATTTCACAAAAACTTTGGGTTTGAAAATCAGAAATACTAGACCCTGATCACAGCTTAAGAGCAGGTATGAGTGGGCCAGAAGACGGCAGAGATGGCAGGTCAGGCGATGAAGATATGCCTGAAGAGATCGATACGGACATCAACGACATCATCGAGTTGGACCAAGAGGAACTTCATGCTGGCGACGATGATGACGGACAGTTCGACGTCGAAGGATCGCCGTCAAAGTCACAAGAGAACAACCGAGATCGGGAACAACAGGAAAGAAAAGATGACGATAAGAGTGACAAGTAAGTTTTTGAGGTTTTCTTTATACTTTGCGCCAAATGTTAAAAATAACTCTTCAGAATTTGTGGTGGCTGCTTTTGGCCGTTGCTTGAGCGTGGGGCGAATTTTTCTTATTGGCCCCTACATGTAGACCAAGGCCTTCATATTATATTGCTTACATGTACATGTACGTGGCGGCATTGCATTGCGGTTTTTCTACGCCTCTCAGTATAGGGCCTATAGACACTTCGCGCCAGTTGTCGCTAGGGGTGTTTTGTACTTTATTTTCAGATTCTGATTTGAAAAAAAATACATTAACCTGATAAATTAGGCCTAGGCCAGCTGGATTCACTGATTTTTTTTTTAGGGGAGGGGGGCTTAAATTCAGAAGTCTTTAGATAGGCCTACATAACCCTTATTCAAGTTATTACAAGTACTGCATTGTGGGAAGGAAAAAGGAGCAAATATTGCCCCTTTTTCCTTCCCACAATGCCTTTTTATCATTGTGCAAAATCACCCAAGCAGTATTTGTGATAAGGTCTATGTTACATTTTTCTGTTCTGGTTTTGAAAAAAAATGTTTTGAGAAAGCTTTCTTTGTTGCTTTTGATTTGGGTAAGAGTTCCATACATGGACAAGCTCTACACTGAGTGGAGCGTTAGTATTCCTCTATTTCAAATTTTGGACTTGATTGGTCATACTAACGCTCCACGCGTCACAACATTACATATTGTAAAGTGACAACGGCTCTCAATAATTCCAGACTCTCATCAAAAATACCATTTCCATTGCCTACTGGCTTTCCTAAATGCCAAAGGCAAACTTCAGGGGCTTCGGTGATATTTTTGACTTCAAAATCTGTAAAAATCAGACTGTTTTCACTTGATACACGCATTACACTTGAGCTTTTTGATGCTGCCTCCCATTGAAATACGCATGCCTAGATTTTCCTTCTGCAATAACTCTATGGAAGAACGTGGTCCTCTAATGAAACACGGGGGTCGCCTTATTGAAGGAACTGAACCACTGCGCATGTACAGCCATTTTCCAATATTTGACTGCAGCTCCGTCTTAAGCTTCAACTGTTTTTTTACTACCTGACTTTGAAGTGGTAAGCACAATAGCAAATTTGGTAGTGGCACAAAATATCAAGTAAGATGTAAAACAGCCAAACATTACAGTTCTTCAATTTAATTGAAATGCTTCAGGCCCACAACCGGGAATTGGTTTTGGAGACGAAGCCTGAGATGGAGACGAAATTAAGTATTGGAAAGCGGCCGTGTACGTGTGCGGCGCTGGCTCGGTATGACAATCTCGAGTCCCGAACGAGAGAGCTGACCCAGTCAGAGTTTACTGTACATGTGCATACAGCCTGTTGGTTTGGTTCTGCCCCCTAATACTTGTAAGACCATTGCAGTCGCTGGCCAACAGTGACTTTGTGGTTTGAGGTTTTCCATGGAGTATTTGTGTGGACCAATGCAGCAATGCAGGGCCCAACACAGGGTGCATTGACTTCCGTATGTGCATGTGCAGTACATCGTTTAGAGCTTATCGCGATAATTGTTGGCATGTGGATTTGCACGATATCCAAATATGTATTTTTTATGAACGATACGATATCCAATATCAACATCATATCGAAATATCGTGAAATATTGTCATATCGAACTGGCTTAGTGGGAAGGTGTGCTCATTGTTTGTGTTAACAAGAATAAGTCTACAAATTTCAGACCAAGAGAGAAGTCAAAAGACAGAAATCGCGACAGGGACCGTGACCGCAACCGAGACCGTGACGGTCGTCGGGATCGGAGAGACTCCGGCCGCAGGGACCAAGGAGGGAGGCGGGACCAGAGGGGAGGGAGGTTCCATCCATACGGTGGGCGTGATAGGGACGGCGGGCGGGACAGGACGATGGGCCGCGTCGTCTTTGTCAGCAACATTCCGTTTGAGATGAAGTGGCAAGAGTTGAAGGACCTGATGAGGAAAGAAGGTTGGGAAAACACTCAACATGGTGGAATTTCGAGCGATAACTACATGAATACTTGACCGAAGTTTTAACATCACTATAACCTGAACCCTCCTCAATCATACAAAATCCTTCAGGCTGTTTTGGAGGATTTTGGAGGATTGAGGGTATGCCCTAGCAAAAAGCCAAAGTGGGTTAAGAATAATGATTGGACTTGTCAATTAGAATCTGACCCTTGGGTGTAATTGTGTGGCTGGTTATCAGTAGACTTGTTTGGAATTAAGGGCAGAGGAAACCATCGCTAAGAATATAATTGTGACCCCAGAAGGCAACAAAGGGCACAGTGTGGCGTGAAATTTACAAAAATAGATGGAGAGGGTTGTTCAAGTAAAATTGTAAGAAAAGATTGAACAGTCGTCAAGCTCTACATGTAGTTTACTCTCAAACTTGATCTTTTCTTTGTTTTTTTTTTCAATACTTGCGTCAACAAGTTTCTTTTGTGTAAAACACCTATGCCGATAAATTGATAGGCACACTAAATTCATATCGATGTTCAACACATCATTAACCCTAACTACCCAAAACCTGCCATATTCCAACAGCAGGGTTTGTGAGGTTTTGGCAGGTTT